CACGTGTGTGCATGGGGGGTATAGCTGAGCACTTGTAAGAGGAAGCCTGTCTATTTAGGTGCCGACAGGTGATTATATACCTTATGCTCATACATACAGACCTGTGGGCTCACAGGGGCAAATACAGCTTGGCATCAAATGCTTGGCTCTGGAGTGTGTAACTGACCTCCCAAGGCTATGCATACTTTTGAGTGGCTGCATGAAGTGTGTGCATGCTTCCTGAGCAAGTGCACAGAGCTCTGTGTTCATGTGCACGAGTGTACCGGGGGCTGTCCACCACACATGTCCTGTACACTTGAATTGGAGTTTCTGGGGAAGACATATATGTATGTGTATGAGTGCATGGTTGAACAGGAAAATATATTTGTTCACTAAAAAGTACCAGTGGACACACATGTAACATGTATGTCAACCATACTTATGGAAGGCATGTATAAGCTCTGTTTACAAACATGAGTGTACCTACGAGACCTTATCTCTGTGCCACACAGGACCACATTTGAAGGCCTGCAGGGATGTCCTGCGTGTACATCTGTGTGTGCTCCTGTCTATGTTGCTCACACAGGTGTTCCCTGTGCTCTGGCACAGCATGTGCCTGTCCTGTGAGCTCGGTGTTCTTGTACCTATGCATGCACTGAAGCACAAGCCGTCTCCTATCACAGTGACGGCTGACAGGCTTACATTTTCCGAAAGCTCATTGGCCAGTGACAGAGCTGGCCTGAGCACACTTGTTGGCAGGAGGTAAGTGGAGCTGCTGATTCATGACCTGGGTGGGTGGCGCTGACGGCTGGCTGATGGATGCAGGCACTCAGCCGCCCCCTATGATGGAATCAGGAGGTGGGAGGCTGGTGCTTGACCTGCGGTGCTCAGCGGCGCTGGGTTCCCGCCTCTAGGAGCTGTCCACAGCCACGTGCAGACACACACACATTGGTTCACACAGAGATGCAGCCCAGCCTTGGACTGTGGCCAGCCAGCTCTGACCCAGTCCAGCTTGTCTCCTGCTCCGCCACCCATGTTGAATGTCTCCCCTTCTTCCCAACTGCTTCTCTGTCACCCACCCCCTGGGTTCCCCTGAGAATCCAAGCTGTGTAGATCCTGTGCAGAGCCAAGGGCTCGGGGCTGGGTTCAGGCTTTGTGCCCTTGAGGGATGCCCTCCTCATCAGTGAGCTCTGAGTCCCTCTCTCATCCTCATAAAACAGGGCTAATAAAAGCATCTGCTTAAAATTAAACAAAGCACATTATGTAAAGTGCTAAGCACTGAACAGAGAGTCCGTTCTCTATGAGTTTTATCTCTATTAATATTAATTACCTACAGTGCTTGGTACAGTGCCTGGCATGCAGCTAGTGCCGCAGAAATGCTCTGCCATCATCATTGCCATCATCGACATTGTCATTCATGTCCCTGGTTCTAAAATTCTTGCCCAATTATGCGTCAATTCTTGCTCAAGACCCTGAACAGTCTTTTATCCTGTGATGATCACAGCGATGGAGATGATGACAATGAAAAGGGGAATTTGTTTTTCTTTTCATTTTCCTAGATGCCTTACAAGGAGAGCAGACGCAGCGAGCAGAAGGCCCTTGGTTCCCGAGCTCCCTGGGGAGCCCCTGTGCCTATTTGGAGCCCGGAGGGGGAGCTGTGTTCTCTGCCTAACTCAGGGGAGGCTTTGACACTCTTTGGGACCTTGCTGGGAATCCCATGAGACAGATGGCCAAAGGCTGTGTGCCCCACAGCAACAGCCTTCTCTGTGACCCAGATCCTGAAAAAGCTCATGGAGAGCTTGGTGTGAGAGGACACTTCGTGGGACCCGGGGACAGGACTACAGTCCCTGAACCTCACTCCAGGCTGGTGCGGTGCCCAAGGAGAGAGACAGCAAGTGAAAGGGGGTGGGCAATAATGCACCTTCCATGCCCCACCTGGAACTAGGAGACACCTGGGAGAGCTTGGGGATTCACATAGGCTGTGGGGACAGTGACAAAAAGGGCAACCAGCTCCCCCAAAGCACAGACTTCAGCTATACCAGGACGTTTTGGGGGCTGCCTGGGTGCCAGGCACTGTGTGTGCTGACAGCACAGTGGGTTCTGTGAGGGGCAGGGGGCCCAGTGTTCAATCTTAGCACCTCTACTTCTTAGTTGCCAGACAGCTGGGTGTGATGGTTCACATCTGTAATCCAAACATTCTAAGAGGCTGAGGCTATGTATAAGATCCCATCTCAAAATCCAACATGGCTTGGGATGGAACTCAACGTAAAGGCCCTGGGTTCGATCTCCATCCCCGGTACTGCTGAGAAGTGGGGACCTATCCGTTGAGTTGTTGGGGATGGAGTTAAGTCATGGGCAGAGCTTGGAGCACACAGGAAGTACAGTGTCAGCTGCTGTCACTACAGTTACACCTCACTACCGCTGATGGAGTAGATGTTTACAGCCTGCGCACTTTATGCATAAGAAAATGGATGCACACAGGGGGTAAATAACTTGTTCAAAGCAGGTACATTATAGAACCATGGGCTCAGAAGGTGAATCTGGGAGAATAAAGTTTTCTTTTTTTTTCCGTCCAAGATTTCTAACTTTGTGTAACCCTGGTCAATCATTTCCCATGCATGGGGTTTGGACAGACTTTGAAGGCACTTATAGCTCCACGTCCCCTGGACAAGGAGCCTGCCTGCCATCTCCCCAGGAGTGTCACAATCTGCCAAGGCAATGCATGCCTGTGGAAGGTGCAGACTCGGAGTCAGGGGGCCTGTGTGCCTCCAGCTATGCCAACAGCAGGTGGGCGACCTGGAGCCGGTCACTTTATTCCCTGCTCAATTTCCCCTCCGTGATAGAAGTGGGGCAGACCAGCCTCAGAACTGTTGCTGGGGTTTTGTCTGCAAGATCTGGTGACCATGATAGAAGAGTGGATTGCATGTCTCAGCCCCTGGTCCCCAAGTCACCAGGCCTCTTGGTGGTACAAGCCATGGGAACCATGGGTGAAGGGTACCATGTAGGACAAAGTGAGGTTTCCAAGTGGCTCTCACTAGGGCTACACTGCCATTAACCACTCCCTGGGACTTCTGTAGACATGTTCAAGTTGAATAAAGCATCCCTAGCCTGGCTTTCAAGCTCCCTGTCCAACCTGCATCCTGGCCCTTTCTGCCTTTCCCCCCGCCCCAGCACACACCATCCAGCTCCTGGGAGCACCTACCCCTCCTCTAGCTGCCCCAACGTCTTGCCAAGCCTGATCACCACCCTGCTCTTTGAAATGCTCTCCTTCCTGTCTGGAATGTTTATCCTTGCACACCCCTCTCACATCCAATCTTTAAGATGCAGCTAGAGTCACTTTCGCTGAGAAGCCCTCCAGGAATTATCCAATTGTCCTTCTGTGTTTCCGGGCTCTGTTAATTCTGCCACATCTCTTAATAAACATATGATTACTGGATGTCTCTGCTCATGACCAGGGCAGCCCTGAGCCACTTGTCACCTGTGGAACCTTCAGCAGGTTGCTGCTCACTGAACCAGTTTCTCTGTTGTGAGGCTTCCACTACGTAACTTAAATAAAATAGTACAGGTAAGGCACTCAGGATATGCTGGCCATTTCTCCACCCATCACAGTGGGACTTGGCAAATGTGGGGGCCTGCATGAAAGCTCCCTGGGTCAAAAATAAGGCTAATGAACATTTATCAGGAAGGGACTAAGATCAGAGCTTATAACATCATCTTAGCTGAGTCTCAATAACTTTTTATGGGAGACACTACCATTGGCCCTGCTTTACAGATAAGGAAACTGAGCCTTTGTCAGCTGAGGTCCCTGATAAAGGACTCCCAGCTGGCAGGAGCTAGAATTCACAGCAATCCACATGGAATGAGTCCATAATGGGGCGGGGGGAGGGGGAGAACTGCGGTGGAAGCTATAACCTGAATCTTATACTCATGCTTTTGCAGTTGGACACTCTGGTTGATGACTTTGCCTAGGGTGTCTTAAATTGATAGGTGGACTCATGAATCTCAAGTGAGACATAAGGACCCCATTGTCCAGGGACTTCCAACCCCTCTGCCAGCCCTTCTACCCACCCCCTCAAATCTGGAGCCACCCAGTCTGTCCTCTCTTTACATCTCTGCCAGATGTCTTATTCTGATGCATCCTCAGACTCCTGATGACTCCAGGGCCCCTGGGAGCGTCCCTGTCCCCAACGAAGGGCAGGATCAGGAACTGACAGTTGGGGCCACCCCACCACTGAGACGTGCAGAGAAAGAACCGCAGGTGGGGCCAAGGAAGCAGCTCAGATCCAGGGGGTGGATACCCAGGCTTCTAATAATGACAGAAGTGACAACATCGACAAAGGTGAACATTTATTGGACACCTACTATGTGCCAGGCACTGCCCTAACCACTCAAAGCACACGAACCCTTCTTATCCTCACAATTCTTCGAGGTAGGTTCTGTTATTAACCTCATTTGACAGATGAGGAAACTGAGGCCCAGAGAAGTGAGATGACTTGTCCAAGGTCAAGTTAGTGTCAGAGGCCCCAGCAGTCACCAGCTATGTGTCCCTGGACGGGTCACAACCACTTCTCTGGGTGGGGTTTCCCCATCTGGCACCTGCAGGACCCCACCTCATGGTTTCTATGACAACTAAAATGGTCTTACAGCGCCCCAGCACACAGTGGGTGCTCAGTAAATGGTCAGCCTTCCTTTCCTCTTAACTTTGATGCAGGAAACCTGGGTGGGGGCATCTTGGCGCATCCTCCCTCCAGCAATGCCCTCCAAACCAGGCCTAAGCAGCCCCCACTTAGTTGCGCAGTGCTGCTGCCTCCTCCTAGCTAACCGCAGAGCCATGCAGCGCTGGTCTCGCCTTACTTTTAATGACATGGTCATAATTCTGCACCTCTGGGCCCAAAAGCTGCACCCTGGAGGGGGCGCCGGAGAGTCTGTCCCTGACAAGGCCCCCTCCAGTCCCGCCGCCCTGGGTAGATGGGGAGGTCGAGGAAGGAGCCAAGCAGGGAAATGCACTGTCCTGTGGGAGGCTAGGAGGCTTGGGCCTCGTCGTCCACGCGGTGGCCGGCGTAGAGAGCGGCCAGAGGCCGGAAGCGCGGGCCCCAGCTGCTGAGATAGGCGAAGTCCTGCTCGGAGCCCGACGAACCGCTGTGCAGCGAGCTGAGGGAGGCGGCCGGCGAGTCCGCGCCCTCGAAGGCGTAGGTCTGGAAGGCGTCGTAGGGCGGTACCGAGAGGTCCCCGTCCGCCAGCGCCACCTTGCGGCTGATGAAATCCCTGAACACCGAGAAGTCCGGCTCGGGGCTCGGCTGCCCCTGCGGGAGCGAGTGACGCTCCGAGGACGGGCGCGCCTGCGGGGGGCTGCTTGCGCTTCCGCCCGCGCCCCCACCACCGCCGCCCGCGTCTCCGCCCTTGAGCTCGCCGAAGTCGTAGAGGCTGCGCAGCGCCGACATGTCGTAAGCCTCTGTGTCCTGCTCGCCGCCGCCCTCGTCGTTGTACTTGATGACGTTGTCCCGCATGTCCTCGTCCTCGTCTGAGCTCAGGTGGCTCTTGTGGTGGCGCCTGAGGGTGAGGATCAGCAGCACCAGTACTGTTCGGGAGACAAGGGTTGGGGAGGGAGGGGGGGCAGAATGAGGGCCCAGCAGGACATTAGAGGACCCCCTCCGCCACTGCACCCCTGGGGCAGCGGGCCCAGCCCAACACTGCATACTTGTGTTTAAGAAAACACCTTACAAAAAAAAAAAAAAGAAGAAGAAGAAAAGAAAACACATTATAGTCAGAACCAAGCTGTCTGGACAGGTAGTGAGCTACCCTTCTAGAGAGGCAGGCAAACTGAGACCAGGTCACCCTGGGGTTGGGGGTGGCAAGCAGCGGAGTTAAGGGTTTTTGTGAGTGCCCAGGGCTGGAGTCAGCCTCCGAGGTCTCTATCCTCAACTCCGAAGAGATGCACTTTCCTGCACTGCCAGTCTGGGGCTGTGAAGGAGGCAGCTCAAAGACAGAACGATGTCCTCGCCCGAGTTCTCTTCTGCTCTTGCCCGCTGCTCTCTGCTCTAGAAGGCCGGGGGTGTCAGGTCAAGACCTGCAGGATCCCCCTCTGAGCTCCGGGCCAGGCTCTGTGCCTTCACTCCTGAGAAGGTGTTTCTCTTTCTGGCACACGGGTGGCTCTCAGAGTTCCCAGCAGTCCCTGCAGACTTGTCTTCAGGTCCACCCTAGAGTTGCTGGGGGAAGGAAGGGCAGGGCAGGAGTGCAGCCTGTGTTTCCACAAGGTCTCTGGTCCATGAAGGAGCCACCGGAGGTGAGAGCCACAGCTGTACCACAGACCTGATGCAGCTGTGGTGGTATGTCTGTCTTCTCCCCCTGTAATGACACCCTGAATTACCCCTAGGATCCCGGAAATGCTCCTCTAACTTGGTGCTCCATGTGCAGGAAACACTGGACTCATGCTTGTGAAAGAATTAATGAATTAATGAATGAAGAGTTGGATGGAGATTATGGAGGCTGGGCCAGTGAATGAGTGAGTGAGTGAATGAATGTCCTTCTGGCTTGCTTGCTTGCTTTCTCTCTTGCTTGCCTTTCTTCCTTCCTTCTTTCCCTTCCTTCCTTCCCTTCTTTCTTTCTTTCTTTCTTTCTTTCTTTCTTTCTTTCTTTCTTTCTTTCTTTCTTTCTTTTGCATACTAGGGATTGAACCCATAGATTTCACATTGAGCTATATCGCCAGTTCCCTTTCGAATTTTTTTTTAAGACTGGGTGTGGTGTTGCACACCTGTAATCCCCGCTCTTGGGAGGCTGTAAACGGGTAGATCACTATACATCCAATCTTGTAGTGAGACCCTGTAGATCCTTCCCTAAAATTAAAAAAAAAATTTTTTTTTCAGACAGAATCTTTCTGAGTTGACCAGGTTGGACACAAACTTGCAGTCTTTCTGCTTCAGCCTCTCAGAGTGTTGGGGTTACAGGTGTGTGCCACCCCATCTGGCCTGGTTTTCTTCTTTGACTTCCAGGATTCTACACCCTCCCCCTTTCTCCTCCTCCTACCTCACGGATGCTCCTTCTGTGTCTTCTAAGTGGGCCTCTCCTTAATGTCAGATGACCAAAGACTCAGACCTGACCCTTCACCCATACTCCCTTTGTAGGTGCCCTCCTCCATCTCTATTTAGAAACCAACAGCTTCCCTATCTCCGGGACCTGAACTGCTCCCCTGAAATCTAGATTGTGCATCCAGTTTCCCACTCAACATGTCCTCTTGGATGACCAAGAGAATTTGAAATGGAATGTATCTAATGTGGAAATAATAATCCTTTCCTCTTCCCACCCTCAGTGTCCCCTATCTCAGTGATGACATCCCTAACGTTGCAGTTATTCAAGACATTCAAAGGTCTCTTGTTCATTGATGAACCCCAGGGCCTAGAACAGGCTAGCATATAGGCAGGACTCATGGCTGGCTCTGTACATAAATGGTGGGTGGGTGGGTGGATGGGCAGATGGGTGCACAGAAATATGCTGGGTCCTGGGCCATGAATTAGCTTGCTCTTGCAATTCGAGCAGTTTAAGCCAAGCCACTGGCCAGAGTCAGCTGCTAGGGCCATGGGGCAGGGTACTGGCTCACCACTTAACAAGATAGCTTATGACAGGGAAGGGGACAGGCCTATAGGGAGGGCCCCAGGGAGGGAAGGTGTCAAGAGGGAAGTGGGGAAGATGGATGGGCAGCTTTCAGAGCTGGAAGTGGGGAGCTGCGGAGGGGGATGCCCGAGAGAACAGATGGTGGGGATTGCGGGCGGCGGGCGACAGATGTGCCAGGCCTGATCAGCGATTCTGCCTGTCACCTTTAGAGCACTGATGTGCACTTTCTTCGTTTGTGGGCAATTAGGCAGAAATTTGTTTGCACTGCCTCGGAAAATGAAACCGCTGTAAAGTGCACTCTCTGGAAAAAGGTTTTCTGAGCCGTAGGCCGGGTGACCGAGAGGGGGCTGGGTTTCTTTCTAGCAAGGAGGAGCCTGCCCTGGGCCCCTGCAGGGGCTGGATGTGGTAGGGCCTTGGAACTGGGGCAGCAGCAATGCCAGAGGTGGGCAGCATGGAGTGGAGGCAGATGCCCTCTCCCAGGAACTGAGAAAAACTGGCATTTGCCATCAGCACCTCCCAAGAGCCCCAGCTCTGGCTGCACCATGAGCCCAGCGGCAGGACTGGAGCCTCGGTGCCTTTCTGCATTTGGGTGGCTGCTGCTGGGATAGGACCCCACTTGAATCCCACTTAGCTCCTCAAATTTGACCTCTTCACGGGGGCACTTAGGGGTTCAGATGGATTTGGGCGGGGCCAGTACCGTGTAGATCTTGCCCTCCCCACCATACCTTCAGATTTTGCCACAGGTGCCCAAAGATTTGCTACCAGATTAAATTCATAGCAGGATAGAGGAGCCGGGAGCACAAGGTGACAGGACCTAACCGGAAGTCAGATAACCATGTGCCTTTACAGAAGCCACTTAACCTCTCTGAGCCTCCGTTTCCTCATCTGAAAAATGGTACAATATATTTGACATGCATTCTGTTTAGGGAGAACGAAGAAAAGATCATAGATGTAAGAGGATTATAGGTCTATTTGGCTTTTTTAAACACCAGGGAGAGATTCGGGCAGGGAAGAGGGCCAGTGGTCTGAATTCAGTTCCAAGTGAGAGGTCACTACCCGGATGAGGAGAAAGTCTGCTCTGTATTTAGGAGACTTCTCATAGAAGCTTCATTTAAATTTTCAGGCCAGTGCACCCTTGCACGGAGGGGACACTGAGGTCCCAGAGGGGCCAGTTGAGAAGGTCACTCAGGGCCCCAGGATGGAGGACAATTGGGAAGGGTGGGTGGCTCTCAGTGGACTCACCGACCAGGATGAGGACACAGACCAAGAGGGCGATGAGGGCGCCGGGGCTGAGGGAGGCCGCCATGACGAAGGCTGTGGTGTTGCACGACTGGATGGCCCCAGAGCTGTCACAGCCGCAGACGCGGATGGTGAGTGTGCCCGTGCTGCTGAGCGTGGGCGGCCCGCTGTCCACCACAAGGATGGGCAGGAAGAACACGTCCTGCTCCTGCCGGTTGAAGCCCACATGCTGCGTGTGCACTGCAGCTGTGTTGTCTGCTCCGGAGGAAGGGGTGGTGTGTGATTGGGGGCCAGGGCCAGCCCCTCCCATCCCAGCCACCTTCCACCTCAGGACTTGCTTCTACACCCTGGATTTCGGTCTCCCACTGAGTCTTAGGTCTGTGCTGCCCGAGATCCTGTTCTCAGCCGCATAACCCGTATCTCTGTCCTCAGCTGTCCCTGTATTCTGTTCACAGCTGTCTCAAGATGTGGTTTTCAGCTCTTGTAAGATTTTTGTTCCTAGCTGTGCCAAGGTACTATCCCCAGCTATTCTAAGATTCAGTCCCCAGCTGGACCAAGGACCTGGCCCTGGCTATGTAAAAAATAATTTTTTTTTTTTTTTTTTTTTGCTATGCATCTCAACAGCTTGTTTGTGTTTGAAATTCCACTCCAGCCCAGAAGTCCTGTGATCTTTGGGTCATGTTTTACTGGGCCCTGACAAGTCCAGGGTCATCAGGGAAGACGGGGAAAGCTGGCTGGCACCTGTCTTTGGCTGAAGGATCTTTCTGTCCTTCTTCTGAGTTGAGAGACCTGGAGCTGGCTCAGGAGTCTTCAGTAAGAGGCTGAGCCCAGGGGCTGGGGGCACAGTGCTGGGGTCAATGGAAGGGCCCTAAAGCATCTTTAGCCACCTCTCCTTCTCTACATCCTTCCTTTCTACATAGGCCAGAGAGGTTGGTGAGCTGGCACAGTGGTGTCCACTGCACAGCTCCAGGGCAGGGAATGGCTGGTGTTGGAGCTCAAGTCTACTTTCTGTATCTGTCCTGTCTCCTTACACCTGTCTGCTACCAGTCAGGCCAGCTGAGCCCTGGTCCCTGATACCTCCTCTCGGTCCTGCAGGGTGTGGAGGTATAAAGGGTGTAGAGCTTGAAGGTGGCCACCCTAGCCTTTACAGTCAGCTCCCCGAAAGGAGCTCTGTCTTCTTCTCTCTGCCCTCGAAGTCTTCAGACTGGACTCTGATCTTAGACTGCGGAAGCAAGAGGCCCTCCTGATTTTTGTGGCCCCAGATAATTCAGGCCAACCTATTGTACAGAGAGGGAATCTGAGGCAGGGAAGGATAGTGGGGAAGGAAACCCAGGTCCCAGGATGGAGCCCGTTCTTTTTCCAGCAGCTCCGTCCTGAGCAGCACCTCCACCCCAATTCAGCACTCCAGATAGGGACTTCCTCAGCTCGACTACAATGCAGGAAAAGGAACTCTTGTGAGCGCTGATGTATGACCTTGGACACATCTAGGAAGTGGACATAAGGTCCAGATGAGGCAAAGGTTTGTCCCGAGTTGGATTGCCCATGAGGTGACAGGCACATGAGACATTACGCTGTCTACTTTGTACATATTTGAACATTTCCATACAAATGTTAAAGTAATAATACTGAGTGTATCATTTTTGAGCTTGCAAATCTCAGCTGCTTTGGGCCTCGGTTTCCTCAGCTGTACATTGAGAAAAAATGTACTATGTAGGCACGAGGGCTTAATGGTATCATTTACATGTAATCCTCAGAATAACTCCCAGCACACAGAAATTCTCCATAAATACTTGCTAACATTGTTCTCAAACTCTGCCCCATTTTCTCTGTGCCTGACCCTGTGCCTTTCCTCACAAAATTTCTGCTCTCTGGAACACCCTCTCCACCTGCTTGCCTGGGCAAATTCCTCATCCGTCATGCTCGAGCTAAATGTCACCGCCTTTCTGTGGCCTCTTTTCTCTGCTTCCCTGGGAAGGAAGGATTTATGGTTCCCCTCCTTTCTCTGACGACGCAGGTGCCATGCACAGTTCTGTCACAGCACTTGTCACGTTGCATTAGGCTAGCATGTGCCCATCCCTCTACTACCCTGATAGCGAGGGCCTGGCATCGAGCCAGTCTGGAGGAATGACACTCGAATGAGCCAGAACTTCAGCTAACCGGTGGTTCAGGGTCAGCTCTGCAGGCTCTGGCTTCAGACTCTGATTCGGACTCTAGCCTTCCTGTCAAAGGGTGAACCAACCCCAGCTGTGGAAATATCTGTCTTTCACCCAGGTATAAAGGAAAGGCAAGAGCAAGTGGGGCAAAGAAGGAAAGGTGTAGGGGCTCATTTGCATGGACTGCATGCTTTGGTGCCTGAAGAACCCTATGGGTGACTTAAATGCAGAGCAATATTTGGTCCTCCGAACAACCAAGAGCTACAGCATTGTGTCTCTTAAGTATACGGAAATGGAGGCTTAGAGAGAATGACCTGTTTTGAATGAATCCAGTGAAATTATCCATCCACCTATCCATTTATCAACCACTCTCCCACCCCCATCCATCCTCCATTATCTAGCTGTCTATCTAGCCATTTATCCACACTTCACCCTCAATCTCCTTATCTATTCTCCTCTCTTTTCTTCCTTCTTCTGTCCTTCTTCCCTCCTTCAAATAAATCTTCATTAACTGCTCTATGCTAGGCGCCCAGCTAGTCGCTAGAGCGAAATAACGGAGAGCTCAGTCAACTGGATCACAGCTCAGGTTCTAATACGAGACACAAATGCTAATTGAATAAAGCCACAGTTTGGTTTTACCACTGCAGACCATGGTGAGGGTTGTCAAGGAAAAGTAGAGCAAAGGGACACAGCAGGGGACTTGATCTAGCCTGGAAGGGTACGGAGAGCTTATGGAAGAAGTGGTGTCATTTCTGAGCCTTGGAATAGTGAGTCCAGGGGAAGGAACACCCCACGCAAAGGCCTTGAGGTGGTAAGAAACGAAATCTATCCAAGGAACTGAAAGGAGTCCTTTGGGCAAGAGGGGGAGGCAGGAGCGCATCATGGCAAGTTTTTGAGGCTACTTCTGATAAGGAATTTCCTTGTCTTGCCTTGCCTTGCCCTGCCCTGCCCTGCCCTGCCCTGCCCTGCCCTGCCCTGCCCTGCCCCTGCCCCTGCCCCTGCCCCTTCCCTTTCCCTTTCCTTTTCCCTTTCCCTTTCCCTTTCCCCTTCCCCTTCCCCTTCCCCTTCCTTTCCTTTCTTTTTGAGATAGGGTACCTCTATGTAGTCCAGGCCGTCCCTGAACTCATGACAGTCTTCCTGCCTCAGGCCCCTAGGTGCTAGGATTACAGGTGTGTGCCACCATTCACAGTTATTATTTTTTTATGAATTTGGGGCAGGGTCTACAGGGTCTCACTATATAGATTGAACTCGTAGTGATTCTCCTGTTTTTCAGCTTCCCAAGTGTGAGGATCACAGATGTGCACAGTCTCAATCACCAGCTCAGCGCACCCTGCGGGTGGGGCTGACACGGCATACCGGGGACTGAACCCCAGCTGCTGTGTTCAGTCTAAGCTGGCACTATAGTCCACCGCGCTATCAGGCCAGACTTCACAGTTATTTTCTTAAAGGCAGTGGGAAGTCACTGATTGGTGGCTTTTAAGCCAAGAAGTAACTTAGTGACATGTCATCCATTTATTCAGCAGCAAATAACATTTGAGCACCCTCTATATGTCAGAACTGTTTTAGGTTCTGGGGACACCCTGATGAGTAAGACAGACCTGGCTCCTGTCCTGGATGTGCCCTCTTCCTGTGCAAGGAAGCTCATTGTCTAGAATGCAAGAGTAGATGTGGAATGAGAGTCAGGCAGAGCTGGCGTGTTTTGTGTGAGCTAATAGGGGTAGAAGTGGCACAGAGAAGTTGACAGATTTGAGAAATGAGTAGCTGGCCCCAGCCCAGCTTCACACTACCAAGCAAGAACAGGGCTGTTTGTTTTTTGCAGGTTGCCGTCTTTGGACACACAACCATATGTTGTGGGAGCTCTGGTCCCTGCTACTCTTCCACCCCATGAAGGGATCCTCCAGTACCATCCTTGAACACCTCAGGCCACCCTCCTGGCAGCAGTTGGCTTCTACCAAGGAAACCACCGGACAGACACCCTGATCCCGTCCCACCCTTCTAGGTGGGATCTACGCCTAGCATTGCATCCATCCATCTGGCCTGACATACATCAGTGTCAATCTCTGGCTGCAAAAGCAATATTTATAAATCACGTTTCCAAACTGGCTACAAATTTGTACAAAGAAACAGATGGGATGGGGTAGCCATTTGTCACCTAGGATATTTATACCGTGAGGAGGATGGGACCCAGCATGCTATGATAGGAAGGGCTTGAGGGACTGGAGGAGGTGACCCTCTGTGTCCACTCCATTCTCAGAGATAGTCACCCCAGAAGGGAGCTCCAGAAGCCACAAGCCAAAAGGAAATGGCTGGGACAGAATTGCAGGCTCCTTGGGTTGCAAAACTTTGAACGTACAGAATTCAGTCTAGGCTTCTCTTCCTCTCCTGGGGCTGCCCAGGATACCTCTAGAGTGTGAAGGCTGGGCTGTACCAGTTTTTAGAATATCAATACTTCCAAAAAAGGTTCATGTTGCCCTGGCTCTGAGCCCTCAAGTGCTTCCTGGTGCCTCACTCAGCTTTTCTCTCAAGCATCGTCTAACTCTGACACTATCAAGATACTAAGGAGTTAGTGCCAGGCCTAGCAGGGGCTCTGGGGTACTACTCAGCTTGAGATGAGTGTCCTTTTGGGTCCTACCTAAGCTGTGGCTCTGTTTGTTACTTTTTTTTTTTTTCCTATTTGTGTATTTGGGACAGGGTCTCACTACGCAGCTCAGGCTTGTAGTGATCTTCCTGTTGCCAGCCTCCCCAGCACTAGGATTACAAGCGTAAGCCACCACGCTGGGTCTCTGTGGCTGGCTCAGCATGACCAGGGGTGGAGCCGGTGCAGCATGTGGCGCTAGGGATTGAACCCCAGTCCCTGTGCTTGTGTAAGCAGGTGCTTAGTCCACTGAGCTATCTTGCTGGCCCTTGTTATATATTTTTAATATGGCTCATGGAACTACAGATAGGCCTGACTGAAGAGGCTTCTAAGACTTTTCCCTTTGGGGCAGTGGAGTCCTGGGGGTGATCTTGACCTGTCCCAGGGCAGGAAGGGAGCCACAGAATCTGGCCTCTGTGGTTCTGTCTCCTCCCAGGCCTATCTCTCACTCCCTCACAGGCCTCCTTCTGTTCTTTGAATGGCCCAACCCTCCTGTTCCTACCTCAGGGCCTTTGCACCTGCTATTTCTTCCATCTGGACTGTTCTTAGTCCAGTTATCTGCACAGCTCACTCCTCCATTTCCTTTAGATCCTCTTCACTTTGGAGCCCCTCTGAGAGGCCTCCCCAGACCTCCTTATTTAGCGTAACTCCTACTCTCATCTTGCCTTGCATTTTGGTTGAAGGTAACGCATTTCAAGGACCTTCTATGATGTGCCAGGCATTGCTCTAGGCATTTGGTAATAAAAGTCCAGAGTTTTGTGGAGAATTCATTATTCCTTCCTCCACTAACCACCTAACATCTCCAACACATTATTTATTTGTCTGACTTCTGTCTCACCTCATTAGCAAACAAATTCCCTGCGGGAGGGGATTTTGTCCTGTCTGCCATTGCACTTCTAGGACCCAGAGCAGAGCCTGACCACAGGCAGTATGTCTCAATAATGAACAATAATGTACTCAATAAATAATTACTGCATGTAGGAACTGACATGCTCTAAGGATAGCAACATATGTTTGTAGGCCCTGAGCTTCCGGGGCCACCAAGCCCTCAAGGAAGGGCTGCTGCCAACACCAGTTTATAGATGGTAAAGCTGAGGCCTCAGGGGGAGCAAACATTGGCCAGCATGGCACACAGAGCCATCAGCAGAGCCTGGGCTGGCACGGGCATTGGGCAGTGGTGCCTGCCTCAGGCGTCCGTTCCCTCAGGCGTCAGACTTCAGGGTCACGTGGAAGTGGATCGCGAGTGCATCTCTCTCGAGATTGCTGAATCCAGGCTGGGTGGGGAGATTTGCTGCCTCAAGGGTGAGCAGAGCAGGGGCGCTGTGCCTCACACAGGTGAGAGCTGGGATTCCAACCCACCAAGGACTCCTGGGGGACCTGGGCAGGCCCCTTCCCTCTTGGAGCCTCTATTTCATTACTTAAAACATGGAAGGAGTGGGAAAAGCAGCCTCTAGGGTGCCACAGGGATGCCTGGGGAAAGGTGAGTGCAGGAAGCACTTTGGAGCCCATAGTGTGCATGCGTGTGTGTGTGTGTGTGTGTGTGTGTTCTTTCCTCTTCACTTAGAACAGAGTCCTTGCCCCAACTCTGACCCAACCTGCCCCCTGGAAGCTCTCTCTAAATTTTTCCAATATCATTCCTTGCCTTTGGATTCCCCCTTTCCACTCTGCCAACCCATGCCCTGCAGGCGGCTGAGCCTGGGCTTCCTACCACCCTGGACCCAACCCTTCCCCGCTGGGTGTCTCCGGCCTTCCATCTTTAGTGAGGGAAGAGGGCAGGATGGCCGGGTCCCTCCCTCCACACATCCTGGGATTTGGTGGCTCACAGGCAACTCACCCTGGATGTCAAGCAGAGAGAAATGAGGGTTGCTGGGTGCCTCGGGCACCAGGCGGAAATAGAAGCGGTGACCCCCCGGGGGCTCATCTCTGTCCACCACACTGATGGTCTGGATGTGCTGAATGGGAAGCATCCGCAGGTCAGGCAGAGACCATATTGAGCCCAGGCCCAGGCTGCCCCTGGCCAGGGCTGGCAGCAACCCCGGCCCCTGACCCCCCGGTGGTACCTGGCCTGGCTTGGCATCCTCACACACAGCTGCCTCATAGGGCGTGGCTAGTTCTGGGGGATTGTCGTTCACATCGAGGATCCGGATCCTTAGGGATGCCCGGGATAGCTGCGCATGATTGTCTGTGAGAACAGCACAGAAGTAGGGCAAGAGGCCCCGAGTGTGAGAGTCAGATAAACCCCATCTGCTACCATGACAAGATAAGGCGGTGGGGTCATGCTGAGATTTTTCTTTTAAGTTGACCACATTCATACAAGGACCAGGGACCAGGACCGGATGCCTCTAGGTTTAGGGGAATCATCCTCACCATCCGCATCCCACCACCATTACTATGTCATAATCATGGGGACCATTAGCATTGGCACCACTAGCACCGTTTCTACAACCTCTATGACTGTAAATACCAGTACCAACCTGTCACTAATACCGCCACCAGCATCAGCACCATCAATGTCTTCACTAGCCCCATTGCCACTAGGATGCTATTGTTAACAGTATCATCTCCTGACCCAACAAGCAGTGCCACTGTCACCGTCCACACAGCCATCACTATCACCACATGGCTACCGTCACCCTCAGGAGATCAGTACCATCACCGCCATCACCACTAGAATTAGCACCCTCATCACGTCCATCGGCTTTACCCTGACCCCCTCTCTGCCATCACAAGTACTAAGAAACACCTACAGTCACCTCCTTTGCTACCACGGTCATCCCTCTGTCAACATCACCAATCTCATAACTACCATCTTCACCAATGCCATCCCCTGCCATGGCACAACCACCATTACCAGCCTCCTTCCTGCTGCCATGACCCCCACATAATGACCGTGATCACTATCACATCGCCCAGCCCTGTCTGGCCCATTGCCTGGAGTCCACAGACTGTGACAGAAGCATCCACAACCATTACGTCACGTATCCTGGGAGAAATCCTGTGGCTTGGTGCAAGTGGTAGCCCTGCGTTATAAAGGAGACACTAAAACACTGGGATGTTTACAGGAGAGATCACCTGGTGCCTGGACTTTAAAATCCCTGCTCTCTGCTGATCTCATCCTGAAAGGGCCAGGGAAGCCCAAGGAGATGGATTATGGCCAGCAAAGCCACAAGTCCCCACTGGTCCAACTGGGATGTCCTTGAGCTCAAAAGTCCCTGTCTCATTTTTCTCTAGGTTCCCAGCTCCGTGGGATGTGGCACAGAGAAGGTACTCGTACATTTACTGAGTGAGTGGATGGATCCTAGAAGGGTGGAGACTGCAGGAGCCTGGATTCCAGACATAGCTATGCCTGCCCCACCGTCTGGTCCTGGGTAAGATCCTGTCCTCTCTGACACCAATTTCCACACCTGGAAAATGAACAGGGCGTGGCGATTAAGGGCAGGGACCCGAGCCTACAAGTTCTAATCCCAGCTCTGCCACGTAATAGCTGTGTGATCGGAGTTCAGGTCATTTGACTTCTTTGTTCCTCAGTGTCTCACCTGCAAAACAGGCTGAAGAGTAATAGGTTGACTAAGAGTTAACACCGTGTATACCACACAGGATAAGTGTAACATAGACATCCTAGACATGATTCTAGATGCTGTACCTCATCCCAGCCTGGCCTCTGTGAGAAGCCCCCTGCATGTTGGCCCTTTCTGGCTTTCCTACCCTTGTCCCCAGGCCTGAGTGTCTCTGCTCCACCCCTAGGCACCTTTGCCACATTTCTCTGCTGATCTGCTCTGCCTGCCACCGACCTCAGGGGCATCTCCTGGGAGTGGAAACTCTACCACCTTCAAGCAGGGACTTGGATGACAGGGGTCGGACAGGGGCTATGTCAGGGGCGCCAGGAAATTTCCAAGCAGCCAGGTACCCTGTGTATTTTGAGAGGAGTGGGCTGGTCAGCTGCCTCCTTTTCTAAACCCAGGGACTCCTGCAGGCTGATGCCCACTGCTTGTGTGTTGATAAAAAAGAGGAAAGAAGCCAGGAGGGCAGGTAGGGCCACTGTTGGGAGGCCAGGAGAGGGAGGCAGACGGCTTCGTTAGCTCAGGGCTCACCCCTCTCTGGAGTTCCCCTTAGCCAGGGGCACCTTATCTTCTTAGCTCACCCAGATCTGCTGCCTCAATGATTAGAAGGGGCTCTTCTCAGGGCAGGAGATGGGAATTGTGACCTGGAATACTGGGGGAGCTGGGTTTTTAAAGCACATAGACCCTCAGTAGACAGATGGGGGTGCTTTCAGGAGTGTGGAGGGAGAGGCTCACAGGTGCCCCTCCTCCCATCTCCTAGCAGAAGCCCAGGGAGGGTGGGCTGGGCCAGGGCTGGAGGACAGACACCCTTCCCTGCAGCTTGGGGCTGCAGCAGGGCTGAGAGAGAGATGCAGATGGTGCCAAGGGCAGACTCTGAGCAGGACAGGCTGCTCGGTAGGCAGTGGTCACTCTCCTGCTGGGGAGGCTCCCACTACCCAGCCGCTGCCGCAGACCTTTCCTCTGAGAAGGTTACAGGTAGCTCTTGGGAAAGCCCTGACCCCTGTGGCCTGAACCAGGGTCTCAGAAGCAGGCAGCAGAATAGGCTTTCTGAAGAACTGCGCTTCTAAGTTGTCACAGCTGCCACCTGCGGAGCTCGTCCTAGGGAACTGGACAAGGGAACTGGGGCTGGAGCTGGACCTAGGGCTGGTTGGGAACTATCAGAGCTTAAGGGCAGCCCCAGTGCCCTTGACCTTGGGGCAGTAGTTTTCTGGCCTGGCTATACATTAGAATACCTGGGAAACCTTTAAAAATCCCTGTTCCCAAGGCTTGCCCAAGGGTTTCTTAATAATTCCACGAGTGCTCTAAGTGCACAAAGGGTACCAAACTGTAGCCCCAGGGTGGCACGTGGAGGAAACCGGCCTGATGCCTCACTCTGATGGTTCTTCCAGAGCCTGCCTGACCCCATTTATATGATTTATAATAACTTCTGTGGCTGCCGCCTCACGTGTTTCCGTCAAGAAACAACAATCTGCCAGGCACCGCGTCTTGACTTAGGTGCAGAATTTTCCAAATTATAAAGCTTTTTCTTACCTGGGACCTACAACGCCCAAGGGAGCAATTATTAGTCCCAGTTTGTAGATGAGAAAACTGAGGTCCCTTGAGGGATGGGGATTTTTCTCAAGACAAAGTGAGCCAGCAGTGGGGCTGAGCTCAGGTCCTAAGCCTCTTGATGGTAAGATTTGGCCCAGGTTCAGCATCAGGGGCTTCCTGCTGCCTGGGTCTTTTTGTCCATCCAGCGGCAGCTGCTGCTAGGCACAGTCCCATGCTGACCATACCCAGTGGCCAGCGGCAGGTGCCCCGATGGAGTCTCGGCCCCCCGTGGCCCTCCCCAACCTTGGTATCTCAGTTCAGCTGACTGACATGCAAATTAGTTTAATTATTTCTTCTTCTAAAATAAATTATATTTTGCAGTAGCTGCAATATGTTGTGTCAGGCAAAATTACATTCAATATTTTTAAACTAATTGATGCAGCCTTGAGGAGGGTTGATTGGCAGCCCGGAGCCGATCAGGCCTGCAGCCTTAACGGATTCCTAAATTAAAATTAAACGTGCTCCGGCCTGGTACTTCCTCCGGAGCTGGCTCACCATCAATCTAGGGAGGTGGCAGGTGGAGCCCCAGGGGCTGGAGGCCAGAGCACACTGGGCAGCTCAGCTGTGCCTTTGGAAGGAACCAAGCTGGGGCAGGAGAGCGCCACTGTGCAGCATGACAAGTCTTTCCCGTCCTTGTCCTTCGAGTTTCTTAAGTGGAGCAGATGGAGATTGGACCAGACAGTTTGGAACAGGGACTCGTGGTTTTTGCTGACAACTATGGATGAGAGCCTCTCTGCAAGAACACCTTGGTCTCCTGGTCAATGGCAGACAGACATGGCTCCAGATGGTGACAGGGATGTCTGCTGTGGAGTGAGTGAGATTTCTGCTGTGATCTGACTGGGACATGACTAGGTAAGGGGATGGAGAAGTTAGAGATTATTCCAGGAAGCACGATCAACATGTGCAAAGGACCTGGGGTAGCAGGGTGGCGAGGCTATGGGTCTCTTCCAAGGGAGACCTCAGCTGTTGACAGAGCCACTTGCCTGGCATCTGGAACAAACTGAGCAGGAAGTGGAGGTGTGACAGGGATGGTGGCAGCTGGGGGCCAGTGAAAGGAAGAGGAGCCATGGCCTGGCTTAGAAGCCAGAGCAATGTGCTGTTTCCCAAAAGGACCGCAGCAGACACACAGACTGGGTTCCATATTGCCCATGTTGTCCTTTTGGCACCTGCAGGAGTTAGGGACCAGGATCTCTGCTGTGCCACCAATGTGGAAATGACTCATAGCAGTGGGACAACTTGGCCAAGTCCCACAGGGAGTGGCTGACAAAGCCTGGGTTCAAAAGAGCCCTAATTCAGAGTGAGACTTTTTGACCACAAGAGGGTACAGCCTTCCTTCCTGTCCTCACCTGCAGGGCCCTGAAGAAATGTCCTGCCTCCTCCAGGAAGCTTCCTTTGACTGCTGTCAGCCCTGAGCAGTCGGAGAACAATTCCAAGTCCTACATACCACCAGGCCCGGAGGTCCTCCTGTTACTGCCACCCTGGCCTCATCCCTCTCCTTCCTCCCTTCACTTGGCCAGGTGTTTGCCCAGCTGTCTTCTCTATCTGAGTTTGCCTCTGACCATAGCACCTCTGCTTCACTTCTCAAGGCAGTATTCACCCCATCCCTCTGTGGTCTTACTTAACTCAATCATTCTTCCCCTGCCCTAGCATGCCAGGAGATTTCTATGTTTACTGCTGTATGCCCAGGTGATGAGTAAAGACTGGTCATGGGAATGTACTATGGTGACCTCTGTGCTGTGTTCCAAGAGGGAGAGGGATGGGGGAGGAGCTGCGGAGACAAAGTCCTGCCTGACCCCCCAGGGCTACACCCCTCAGGAATCCCACTGTCAGGGACGGGTACAGAACAGGACCCTCGCCCTGCCTGTCTCAGGACCAGCATCTTCCCATCATTAAGAAAATTGGAGGTGGACACTGTGCCTCTCAGCTGTCACAAAGAAAGAGACAAGTGATGGTGTGGGAGTGGGCGTGGGCAGGTGTGAGAAGCGGGGGAAGAGTGACAAGAGGTCTGGAGCAGCCAGCGAGGAGCTTGCAG